GTCTAATATAACATTAATATTAACTAAGCTGGGTATATATAATATCAGCAACTGATAAATGCCAATAAATCTTATTCGCCGCTTACAACCAAGATTATTGATAGAATGTATTAAACTTACAATGAATGTATTCTTGAATAGCTCAAGATCAGCCAAAACCCTCCTTGAAAAGTCAAAGAACAACTTTTTCAGGTTCTCAACGTCAGATGTGATTGAATTCAGACGATCCATGATTTCCGAGTTACTGGTGGGCTGCGACGTAGATGTCGTGTGTGTCTCATTTCGATTGAACTCGTTCTTCTTTTGGAAAAAACTGTGCAACAACAGTGATTGCTTCTCTTCCAAGGTAGGTGTTACGTTCTTAAACTGTAAGGAACAAATTTACATAAGTCCAAAAAGAATTAACCAACAGATTTATGTATATATCATAGATTTATATTCAGCCCTTAAAGTCATGTTTTGAAAAAATAAATACCTTGCTCGAGTCCAAATTCGAAAATGCCCTCTGTATATAAAGATAGTTGTAAGTATCCCGGACTTCCCACTTCAGCATTCTAGGGATTTCGTTAGCTCCAATCGATGTGCATACTACGCCCTCGGCTGTGTCGCATATTTCATAAAACCAAATTTGAAGAGCTAAAATAAACCCATAGCATCTATACATGTAACCAGCTCCATCGCTCTTCCCTCTGTTGTGCATTTGCTCCCTATTTTTCATTGACATTCTCAGATAATGGAAAGTAAATTCAAAGACATCGGTCCCCCAAGCATAATCGTCAAAATCAGCGCTATCGATGATGTCCAGATAGCACCTGTCAAACCGGTGCGAGTCCTGCGAACCCATCAGGAAGTTTGCAAGTAGATGTAACTTTGCAAACTTAACCGCGTCCTCATCGGATGTCCATGATTTCTTTAAAAACTGGACTCTTATGCAACTACGGGTAAGTAGAACACCCGAAAAGTAATTGTCATATAGGCCTTGGGATACCTTTGCGATGTTCAATTTCTTGCAAGTACCAGTGCATTTGAGACCGGTAATGAGGGCAAACTCTTCAATCCCGAACCGGAACAATCTTCCTCCAAAATCAAACCATATCTCGTCGGTCCGGGGTTGATAGACCTCTCGTAAGAGAATATGATTAAGCAATTGGATCTGGATCTTTGAATGTGGGAGGTCGAGAAACTTTCCAAATGCCGAACCCCTTAAAATGTCCATCTGGCCGGGGGTAAGGATTCTCTTGATTTCATTGATGGTCGACCCATCTTTGCTGTTGTCATTACTGGTTTGAATCTTCACAATTAATCTCCGGGGATGAGGTATGAGCAATTCCCAGTCCTGTCCAACAAAGTACTTGTAAAAATTTTCCCCTGAAGTATGTATATGTCATATCCTCAATATATACACACATATAATCAGAAATTCACATATAGGTGATAAAAAAATGTATATTTAGTTATCAAGTTCTGGATATATAAACACTCATATAATCACTATTCATATATATAGTCATCTTATTCACAGTTCAAACACATGGAATCACAATTCACTATATATGTTCTGGGTATTAAATAATCTCATGTCCATCATAGTACATGTAAAATTTCCCCCCTAAGTTATGTACATGTCATATCCGTAATATATAAACAAATATAATCTCAATAACATATAAAACATATATTCTATACATATTCTGTACATATTCCATACATATATATCATATGATTCCAGAAAAAATCATGTATCACAGTAACATATACAACATATATACATGGTAAAACAAATAATATAAAACTAATAACCTAGAACCAAAGTTATGAATTGAAAACACAAGTTTTCACAATCAGTCAGCACAAGTCATGTATAATCACTAATAAACTTGTGTCAATTCCATTTGCTGTAAGTACTCTAACTCATCATGAAATACAATTCAAGTTACATTATTTATGTATAGAATAAGCAAAATAAATTAAGAATTGTGTGTGCAGAAATTATTCAAAGAATTCATCGTTTGTAGTTCAGCAATAATAAATGGGCAAGAATCCAACGAATCAATTAAAATTCCAAATAACTTCATAATGAAACCGCAGTAAATAAAAATTGCAGCAGTTTAAATGATTTTTTTCTTTTCTTCACAATATGATATAGTTGAACATTAATGAATTCCCATTATCTTCCAAGCAGCACATAAAAAAAGAACATGTTCATAAATAAAATACAGAATCGAGCTTTGGTTCCAAAAAAACCTAATATCTATAACAAATTCACACAGCACATGCTCATATACAAAGAGGTTGTAAAAATTTCCTTGAACATATCATTATCATATACATCACGCATGATTAAAAATATTTATTAACAAAAAGTCTAAACTTTATGTATATATAGCCAAATAAATATAGAATCTTATAATAATTTCACAACTAAAATATTATGGTATTTTTTTATCTTCTGAACATACTACAATAAAATTGGAGTTGAGAAAATAAAGAGAAAAATTTAGTTATTTACCTTAAAATTACCCACAATCTGCACATCTTCTTTTGATTTTCTCAGATTGTCACCCGACTTGTTCCTCTTCTTGGACGGGTTCTCATTATATTCACCTTTCATTGGCCGTTTCTTTCCCTTTTCCTTTTTCTCTTGCAAGTCGTTGTCTTCTTCACTCGATATCTCTTCGCTTTCGCTGATTTCTGATGGTATTTCGTCCTCGAAGTCGGAATCCATTTTTTCCCCCTTTTGTGCCATATCTCTTTTCTTTACTTGAGTGTGAACCCGTGACCTTTTCTGTGGATTGCGGCCTGGGACCGACTGAAATTCATCGGAATCGGATGAGAGATCGGTCTTTGCCTGATTTTTCTTGCCGGAAATCTTCCGACCGGCGTTGGTTTTAACACCCTTCTCAAACTGCAACTTTTTTTGAACAAGGGTTGGTTTCTTGCTAACTTGTATATTTTTGAGACGAGAACTCGATCTTCGATGAGGAGAGGACTCGGCGTCCGTTATTGGATTTCTTCCAATCTTAGTTTTTTCCATTATCTGAAATGTATCGAATTCTTAGGGTTCATCAGAATATTTTTGTTAGGGAAGAAGAGATATGAATTGTAGAAGACTTGAAGAGACGTGAAAATAGTGGGCGGTTTTTGGGGGAGTGAGATAATCCTCATACCATATACATCGGGAACCGTTTTTGGTAATGATAATCATCATATCATTAATTAGGTGGTAAAAATATCAATTAATTTAAGATATGAGATCTGATCAAATTCTAGTAAAAGTGCAATTATTGTTGCTTATGTTGGTATATATGCTAATAAATATAAAAGGGGATTATTTATGCAAATAAATTTGAATTTGATCGTACAGGATATAATTTTCTCAAGTTAAAGATCACAATGTATTGGGCCGTAATACTTTTAACACTCCATTGGCCCACTTAGGATGTACTAAAGAAGACTTGTGTTAATTGATGAGAAGGCTTGGTGGGGCCCAAAAAATTATTTGGAGTGCTGGGAGGAATTTGGTGAATTGAGGGAACTTGTGAATTAGCCAACATTCACGCACAGGGGAGGATTTTTGGCAACAGAGAGACGGGAGATTGAGAAAAAAAAAAGCCGCATAGAACAGAGGCAGACATAAACTCACGCACGGACTGGGAAGAGGCTACACACGCGGAGGGAAGCCGCACCCGCACACGAGGGAGAATTTTATCTTCTCTCTTTTTATCTTTTATTTATTTTTCTTAGTATGCTAGGCTAGATTTTTATCCAGTTTTAGGGGATGTTTGAACCCTAACTTTAATTTGTCTATGCATTTAAGGATTTATTTTTATCGTTGGTTAATTAAGATGCCGTATTTATTTTGTTGATGAGTTGATTCACGTTATCTATGTTTAATATTTATGAATTATGATGTTTGATTTAGTTTGGCCACCTACGTTGAATGTTTATAGTTTAATTGCTAGATTTAGGACTTTAATTCTTAATTGTTATTGTCTTGTTTCGTTATTAGTAAACTAGGGGTCGTGCATCCTTATGGTAACGTGAACATAAGTTAAATGGTCCGAGCTTACGCGTCCATTGCTTAGACTGATCTATTTTCCTAGTAATTAATGTTGCTAGTGTATTAAATCTAGAGAGCTTATTCTACGTTGTCCGCTAGTTAGGTTTAGTCGAAGAGCTTATTTCGATTAAATAATCGGTAAGGAAAAATTCGGTTAACAGAGCTTGTTGTTAGCTAGGGTCGGTAATTCATTAGCAATCTAAAGAAAGCGTCGAGATTAATTAGCGGTAGATTTAGATTGGGTGATAACTGAACAGAAAACTGGACTTCTCTTATTTTATTTGATTTATATTTTATTTTATTTTATTGTACTAAACCAATTCCCCCTTTTATTGCTTTCGTAGTTTAGTTCGATTAATACGAAAATTGTCACAATTTAATTCCTACTCCTCGTGGGATCGACCCTTACTCACCGCTACTACTAGTTAGTGGAGGTTTGTTGAGGAAACCTTTATAAATTTAAATTTGTCACGTCGCGACGCGCGGTCAAATCCCGTGCACTGAGTCCGAGTCAATCCACCGAGTTGAACCACCAGTGCGTGCACATAGTCGAGCGAATGATCGACCGACTCCGAGTGAGTCGTCGGTCCAGTTTAGTAGAACCAGTCCGGGCAGTCAGGACAGTTCGAAGAGAATTTTAGTTCAGCCGAATAAGTCCGGGCAGTCCGGACGATTCAGGAGATAGTTCGGAACATCGATTTGAGCGTGGATCGAGAATCCAATTTTTCCGAATTAGTCAGATAAGTTTCAGCTCAGATTTAAGATTTCAGTCAGATTTAAGTTCAGTAAGAGTTTAGACCCGGTCAGATTTTAGTTCCAGACTTAGAAATATTTCACAAAACTCTAGTATGCATCAAAAACAATAAATTTTCAAAATCAGCTCGTAAATCCCTAGATGATTTTAAAGCCAAGTGAGCGAACTTAGATAGGCCAGATAATAAAATTCGAGTTTTTATTATTTCGCTCAATATTTTGTAGCTTGTGGGGAGTCGAGCCTCCGACAGTTGCAATCCATTCAGCACTTGCACTTCAGCATATCAGGTGGGGACTCTGTACTGGGTACTACATTTTCTATAATCGCAATATCCTGACTGAGGTATGTATATAAGAGTTAGTTCGCCCGGATATGGGCAATTTACCTAGCGAGTAGTTCCTTTCTAGCTAAGTGAATCGAACACTAGTTAATATGAGATAAGAATTCTAGTGCATCTTTGAGTTAAGTGAATTGAGAACCTTATCTTTGAGTTAAGTGAATTGAGAACCTTAGAACAACTTTGAGTTAAGTTGAAATTTCAGATAAGGTTAGAATAATGACTCCCTAAGGGCCATTGACCTAGAGATAGGTTTCACCATAACCAAGTGTTTCAAACCCCAGTTAGTATCAAGGACTCTGGTGCAGTTGTGAGTTAAGCTCCAACCTTAGAAGCGCATAAGGGTTAGTTTTACCCTAGTATGGGCAACGATCTACATATTAGGTCCTACAGTTGCTTATCGCAGACGTGAAGGCCAAATGTCCTTCTCGTCAGTTTAGCAGTCAGTTGAGCAACAATTATAGACAGTCAGTTGAGCAACAATTATAGACAGTCAGTTGAGCAACTGTTATAGACAATCAGTCGAGCAACAATTATAGATAGTTAGTTGACCAGAAGTTATGGACATTAAATTGAGCAACAATTATTGACAGTTTACTTATTTATACGCCTTTGTGATGTGTTTTATCATATTAAATGTATGATTAGGTTGTGTTGTGTTTTATCATATTAGATGTATTCTTAGGTTGTGATGTGCTTATCATATCAGATGTATGTTTAGTTCGCGATCCTGCAGATATAGTCACTCAGCCGGGAAACAGTTATAGTCCGTCAGTCAGTCGAACACCAGTTATAGTCAGTCCGTCGAGCAACAATTTTAGTCAGTCTGTCGAGCAATAGTTACAATCAGTTAGTCGAGCCACAATTATAGTTAGTCAGTTAAGCAACAGTTATAGACAACCAGTTAAGTAGCAATTATAGATAACTTACTTAGTTATGTAATTGCTAAAGGTACATTTAATTCGCGATACGTTAGCAAAAGGTTTATGATCGTATCGTTTCTGTCAATCCAGTAACTACTTGCATATATGCCGATGTCATGATATGTTATTATATTAGTTGTATATTCAGTGCTGGTTCCGACGGAGCATCGTTGATTCATTTATGCTCACGCCCCTACTAACCATTTTTCAGGTGACTGTGTGGAGCGCGGAGCATGAGCCGATGATGTGGTGGCGGTCATAGCAAGGATATTTTTGAGTAAACATGTCATGCATATTTGAACATGTTTGAGTTATTATGTTTGTTGATGCATGCTTGCATTTGCTTCCGCACTCAATAATTCAGTATTACATCATTTAATATTTAAGTATTTCAGTATTCTGAATTTCAATTTATTTATGCTTAAATCCTGAGATTTTCATGACGCCTTATTAGAGTAATGAATTATATCTCGGTTGCATGCATACTAGTAAGTGAGAACATAAATGAGAATTTAGTTCAATTGAGTAGCATCCCACAGACTAAAGTTAAAGTATTTTCAAAATAATAATATAAGTTGTTCGAAAATTAAATCAATGTCTTTCCAAATATAACGCGAAAAATTTACTCTGATTTTAGTAAGTTTAGGCGGGGTGTTACAGTCTGATATCAGAACGCAGTTAGCATTTCTGTATATTAAAAGTCTATTAAGATATGACCACACCATACTCACGGCGCGCTGACTCCGAGGTATGTCACCTGAACCAGTATTTATTATTGCGAATGCATGATTATTTTAGTCAGAGTATTTAAGGGGCGTACGACCTATCCTTCGACTAGAGAGTTGAGGACTCTAGTTCGAACCCTAGCCATAACTTAGAAGAGTTAAGTTTTATAGGTGTTTTTGGCAATTTGATATTAATTTATTAAAGTATAGTGTAGATATTTCTTAATCGGCTATACTATTCTAGTTTAACTTTGAGCACTCTTTTAAACTTTTATGAGAAATTAATACTCCATCAATTATACCATTAATTTTTCTAATCCCTATCAATTGTGCAATTCAGATGCCTCCCAGCAGAGCTCCGATTCTGCCCGCAGCTCCGCCGGCCGCCCTAGAGCGCGACCAGGCCTATTCAGTCTCTCAGTTCCGTGGGTTTCACCTAGCGACGTTCAACGGGCAGAGAGACCCGAGGATGGTTGATGAGTGGCTGTGCAGCATTGACATGATTTTCGAGGTGATGGATTGCCCTGAGCCACATCGGATAATGTGTGCGCAGCTCCAGTTGATAGGGGTTGCAGATCTCTGGTGGGCTTCGTACTGGGAGATGAGACACTGGGAGAAGGCAACCCTCACTTGGGCTCGCCTCAAGGAGATCCTCCGAGAGAAGTACTACCCGACCCACTATAGAGAGAGGATTGAGAGGTAGTTCTTAGCAGTGCAGCAGGGTGGCAGGACTGTCAACGAGTACGAGCGCAAGTTCACTCACCTCGGTTTCTTTGTCCCCCACCTGATCGTAGACGAGGAGCAGAGGTCCCGCTATTTTTGCGTGGTCTTCGCGACGAGATCCGCCACCATCTCGCCGCCCACGACCCGCTATGGTATGCTAAGACCATCACTAGGCTCAGCAGGTCGATGAGAGCTTTGGGTTGGCAGCCAACTAAGTTCGCCCACCAGTTGGGCAGTCATTCGTACACCAGCCAGCTGATCAGCAGCCCGCGATACCAGCGCCACTTCAGCTAGGCCAAACTAGAGAAGATTCTGAGGTCGTGACGGGAGATGAGACAGACGGAGGGGAGAGGCCTTAGCTCAGGTAACCCAGCCACCACAGCCAGTTCCACAAGCCTGCGCCACATTGTGGACGCCCCTACCGAGGATGGTGCTTAGCCAGACAAAACATTTGCTATCACTGTCACAGGCCTAGCCATACAACCCGTACCTGCCTAGATCGCGCTCAGAAT